AAATATGTTTAATTAGCTAGATCAAATGTAAGAAATAATATGATTGGCTGGTTTATCTACGAAATTATTTGATTGGTCGGTTTAAATATGAGAAATTATTTGATTGGCTGATTCAAATAACGACCTTATGTTTCCTGATCAGTGATTGGACGCTGGCTTCATCCTTTCCTACGTCACTACTGGATAGGACCCTCAGCATGTCCATCATCCAGGCGTCCACATCTTCTGCATCGGCGAACAACTAAAGAGGACGACGACGACGACGATGATGATGACACATACAATCACAAACACACACACATCACGCACACACACACACACGCACACAAACACACACACAAACCTGGTAGAAATTATGGGCTTCTTGCAGTCTAACTTTTCTGAAATTGGATAAACTCTCCAACTCATTCCAGAGTTCGTCGATGGTTTCTATCTTCTTCTGTATCCTCGTCGAACCTATGCTACCTAAGTTGCATGTGCGCGTGTACGTGTGTATGTGCATGTATGTGTGTGCGTGTATGTATGTGTGTATGTATGCGTGTGTGTGTGTGTGCGTGTGCGTGCGTACTTTTTTACACACACACAGACGCATTCATGCGTAAAATGTAAACATATTTCTATAAAAACAAACATTTTGTGTGTATATATTTTTACATCTACATATATACATAATATGCACACATACTCATACAAACATATATGCACACATACAAACATACATACAAACATACAAACAAACATACATGTATACACACATACAAACCTGCATTGATTAGGTCAACACCTGTTTGGACGACACCATTCAGGTAGGTACGATGTGTCTTCAATTCATCTTCATCGATCTACGAACACAAAAATAAAAATAATAACAAAACATTAATAATAATAATAATTATTATTATTATTATTATAACACCACAAATTATGACTAAATAAATTATAACAAACAGTTATTAGCTAAAATTACTCCCAAAGTTATAAAAACCAAAGAAACCTTATGCTTGTTGATGAGAAGTTGAACGCTAGTCAAATCATGTCCGATATCCGGTGAGGACATTAGTTGCTCCTTTTCTCGGATCCACGTTTCCTCTTCCGTCAAATCCCATTCCAGTTGGCACATCGCCTTTGATTCGTTCAGTTTCTGCTGCCTTTCGTTGAAAAGTTTCAGGAGTTCTTGGTAGGCCGTGTGTAAGTGGTTCATTCTGTCTCTTATGATCTCTGGACTGCAAGGAAGGTAGCCAGCTACGATTGGTTGGTTGGTTGATTAATTGGTTGGTGGTTGGTTGGTTAGTTGGTCTGTCATACCTTCATACACACAACACATACAGACAAACAAAACAGACAAACAACACCCACACACATACGCACACCCATACACACACACAAAGACAGACAGACAGACGCACACAAACATACTTTGTGGATCACCTTCCAGATACTTGCTGACATCAATGCCTTCGACTCTACTGCCGATGACGGCAATTTCACTTTTAATCAATTCATGCTTCTTGAGCAACTCTTCCACGCCGATCAAATGTTTTCCGTAATCTTCTGATTGCAGACGGGCCTTGCAAAATTTTTTTTTCAAATTTGATTAAAATTAATTAATAATTATAAATTTACACCGAATTTTTGAATAAATTTATACACATATACCAAATTCAACTTTTAATAGTACCTTAATTTCGTCCATCACGTCCAGAATGTATAGCATTTCTTGAAAGACGCCTTGCAATTGGTAGGATAGCTCCAGTCTAACTCTTCTAGCTCTTAACAGCTCTAATAGATCTAGCCATTGCTGTATAACGTTTTCTTTGCTGTTAAGTTAAGGTTGGAGAGTAAAAAGAATTATGATTATTTATTTAAATATTATGAATAATTATAAGAAATAAATAATAATTATAAATAATAAAATATTTGGGAGCAAGGAAATTGGAAATACCGCTCGTTGATTGTGTCAATGTCGTGGAAGTTTTCCCACTCCAGCTCCTTTGCCACGTTCATGACTGCTTCCACCCTTTCTTCGTACGCTTGTATGTCCGTTTCTATGGCTTCGTGTTTCTGCAAGTGTGTGTGTGTGTGTTTGCGTGTGTGTAAGTTTATGTGTGTGTGTGTGTGTGTGTGTGTGTGGATTTGTGTGTGTGCGTGTGTTCATGCATATGTATGACTGTGTTTGTTATATCTGTATACATGTTGTACATGACAATCACACACCATATTCATACACCACAACACACGACGCCACACGACGCTACAAAACCTTGATAGCGGCTTCTACAGCGGCCATATCGTATCCAAAGTTATCTTGAGACACGAGCCTCTGGTTCTCGACCAGCCATCCTTCCCTCATGCTTGCCTTCTTGTTGAATCTTTCTGCTAGTTGCTCCAATTTCTCTTGCCTGTAGAATTGATTAATCGTAACGTGTGTGATTTTTTAAGTTTGTTAATATTTCAAAACTGCTGAATGTTGCGTGTGAAGTTTTGTTTTGAATGAAGACCAAATCACTTGATATAAAACATATACAAGTCCAGCACCAATTACGGCCAGTCGATGATCCAACTAATCCAACAATTTTCAATCACAACCAAACTAAACAGCAGCCGATCGGCCAATTACAACCGAGCAGCCAAACCAACCGACCAATCACAACCGACCAACCAGTCCAGCCGTCAAATCAAAACCGACCTAACAAACACACTGACCAATCACATTTAACTTACCTAACTAACTCCTCTCTAAGAGCAAGTTCTCGTTCGTGTTCGGCTTTTTCCAGGTTCTCCCAGGCTTTATTGATATCTGCCATCATTCTGCCCTCGCTCGGAGTGTAGGGCTTCAAGTTGTTCCCTCTCATTTGACTTTGAATTCGAAAGAGCAAAATTTCCAAGTCACTTTTTGCCGTGAATCTGAGAAAAAATTGTGCTAAAAAAATAAATTTTGTAGTTAACTAACTAGAGTTTAAACCTTATATTCGTTTATTTATTCACTCGATCAGTCATTAACTTCATTCGTTCAGCTACTTATTCATTGGTTCTTTTGTTGTGTGTATATTTATTGTATATATTTCCATCTTTTTAAATAATTTTTAATATAAACGATTAAAATAAATTTTAAATTTTAATAACAATTGAAATATAAACAAAAATCATAAAGTTTTTTAAAAATAATGAAAAATATAAACGAACTTGACAGGTTTTTCAACGATCCTGTAGTTATTGAAGGCGGAGAGCTGCTGTTGAACTCCGTTCAGAGAATTCTCAAACTTTCTGTCGTTAAGGATGATGATCTGCTGTTTAATCCATTCCAGAAGGTCCGATGTTAGTCTGTTGTACTCTTGAATCATCACGTCGTCTTCCAAACATTGGTTCACCACCTACGTATTTTTTAGAAATATTCATGTATATATAGACTATTATTTATTTGTTTGATTGGTCGTTTATACATTCGTTCGTTCATTCATTCGATCGTTCGTTTCTTCATTCATTCATTCATTCATTCATTCATTCATTCATTCATTCATTCATTCATTCATTCCACCTTTCCAATCCTCCTCCCTTGCACTGAATCTGCCTTAGCCTTCGAGAAGTAGTGATAGTAGGTGACAACGTACGTTATGATTGACTTCTCGTCCGGGTAGTCCGTGTTGACGTCTGCCAAAAAGTACATCCATAGGATTTTAAAAATTACGTACTAGAAAAAAATTAGGCCAAAATCAATAGCAAGATGATTAAATAACAAAACCAGGTCAACTGAAAAACTAAACCAAATCCATCTAAAACGAAACCAGGTTGAATAACGAAACTCGATGAATTAAAAACGAAACGAGGTAGTCTAAAAACGAAATAACGTAGTCTAAATATGAAACCAGGTTGTCTAAAAACATAACCAGGTGGTCTAAATATGAAACCAAGTGGTCTAAATATGAAACCAAGTCAAATTAATAACAGAAGTGAACTTGAATTTTATAGAAGTTATCAGATAAAGAAGAAAATGAACCTTCAGCATCGAGTAGCTTGGTGAGACCCAGCTTATCCTCTGCTACGCTGAATGCATTGTTCAGGTTTTCAGCCGGTCTGTTCTTGTTCAGTGCGCTCATGTCTATCAGATCTGGCCTGCATACGTTTGTATGTTTTATTTAGCATAATTAATTGACTAATTAATTAATTAATTGATTGATTAATTAATTAATAATTATCTAAATAACTAATGTATGTTTCACAAATAACCAATCATCCATTCGTGTTAAGCACGTGAACAAAAGTTATCTATATATTCTACAAACATGATGAACAAATGTAGCTGTAAATTATTAGTTAAAAATACCTAGAAATAGTTAAGAATACATGCAAGTATGTCTACAAATAGCCACAAATTTATGAGAATAGACAGATACCTGTGCTTATGGAGGAGAGCGTTGAAGGCTAATCCATCTTTCCAACTTGTCGTAAAATTTCTGACGTTAACATTAGGGTAGCCGGCTGTCTTCATCTGACACCATAGCAGCAGGGCATCTTTGGCCGACTTGATCTCAGAACTGTCTACTTGCTCTACTGTTATGTCTTGGATCTGTGCGTGTGTGCAGTTGGCGAGATGTTTTTATTCATTCGTTTATTTATTCATTCATTTGTTCATTCGTTCGTTTATTCATTCGTCCTTTCTTAACTCTTCTATCTATTCATCGATTCATTCATTCATCAATTCATTCATCAATTCGTTCATCAATTCATTCATCAATTCGTTCATCAATTCGTTCATCAATTCATTCATCAATTCATTCAAACCTGAAATCTCAAAATAATGGTCCAGATGAGACCAAGAGTCAGTCTCGGATTGCCATCGACAATGTCATGGGCGCCGACATTTTCAAGGTGAACTTTCTGCTCGTTTAGGAAGGTCAAGGACTTGTCCACATTCTCTAAACAGTGGATTCTCATCTTGCCCTTCGTCGGGTTAGGCTGTGACGTATGGGAAATAATAATATTAACAACAATAATAAAAATAATAATGATGATGAGTGTATGTGTGTGTGTGTGTGTGTGTGTGTTAGTCATATAATTTCATGAGTTTGTTGCGATGCAAAATAATATACGCTGCGTAAATGATCGAACACACATAATGTGTACGAACACACATAAGTTTTATACATGCGTACACACATATATACACGCACGCACACATACGCACAAGCAAACCAACACACACACACACCATACACGCACGCACATAAAAATACAAACCAATCACATATTCATCTATAATGTGAATAAACTCGACTATTAATACTTGAAAAAGTTTATTTTAAGAGATCATGCTATCGAATTAGTGTCTGTGTGTACGTGTGAATATATGCGTGTGTAAGTGTATGTACTAGTATATACGTGTGCGTGTTATTACGTTTTGAAAGACCACTGCTTTATTGAATTTATTTACATAGCAAATTAAATATACAACATCATAGTACTTGTGAATTTTGAATCGCTAAGGTCAGTTTAATAGAGATCTTCATTTTAATGTACATCATGTTAATGTATTGATATTGGTGTTATGTGTATTTCATGGTATTGCTCAACATTGTACGTATTGTATATATGTGTGTGTGTGTTTGTGTGTGTGTATGTGTGTGTGTATCATTTTGTTTAAAATCGGTTACTTTTTTTCATATACCGGCTTGTAATAATAATGATGATGACGATGATGATGATGGAGATGATAATAATAATAATAATAATAACAAATAATAATAATATATAATCATAATAATAACAACAAATAATACTGAAATTAAAAGGCAGCTTCATATAGACACACAAGCTAAACAATGTACGTATTATAATGTTGTATGAATGTAGTTAGTGAATGTGTATTTACTATAATGTATATTTACTATTTAATAATGCACCACCACTACTACTACTGCTGCTGCTGCTGCTGCTACTTCTACTACAACGACTACCACTACTACAACAACTACTGCTGCTGCTGCTGCTACTTCTACTACTACAAATATTGTTTTTGCAAACCACCATTAAAACTACCTTCCGCATCTATAACAAGTAGCAGCAGTATGTATAAAAATTTACATCAATACTAATTAGATAAATTATGTTAAAATTCATTTTTAAAAATAAAAATGGAAAAGAATAATTTTTAACAAGAATAAAAGCAAAGAGCAGAAAACAAAGAGCACGTACCAATTTTTCTCCAGATAAAATTTCCAAGAGTTTGATCAACATCTTTCCATCCCTAATATCAACGTACAGGTCTTCAATTGTGCAACCGACGCGTGCCAAATGAGAGTTCACCCATTTGCAGAATGTTTTTTTCTGAACTGTTTCACGTTCAGCTGTTGTTGGTTGGATGGTTGATTGAACGGTTGGATGTTTGGTTGGTTGATTGGTTGAATGTTTGGTTGATTGGTTGAATGGTTGGTTGGTTAGTTGGTTGATGGGTTGAATGGTTGGATGTTTGGTTGGTTGGATGGTTGGTTGGTTGGTTGGTTGATTGGTTGGTTGGTTGGTAGAATGGTTGAATGTTTGGTTGGTTGATTGGTTGGTTGGTTGGTTGGTTGGTCGGTTGGTCAATTATTCATCTTTGGATTGATTGGTTGGTTGATTGACTGGTTGGCTGGTCCATATCGCACCATAGACATATAATTAGTTTACTAATTTAATTTAAATCAGTATTTTGTCGCTATCTGATAATATGAATCTGTATATAGGTTGAAATTAAACACAACCCATTACGATACTGTTTGTGTGTTTGTAATATACACACACACAAAAACACACATACATACACACATATAAATACATTTACATACACACACAGATATATCCATAATCATCTTCTGATTCATAACATCTGCTATTTTTTGTTCAATAGACATGTCATCGGCCACATAACTACATTCATTTTTTACACAGATACAGACACATACACGCACACATACACACAGATACATACATACGCACGCACACATACATACGCATGCACACACACACATACATACACACACATACATAAATAGATGGAGCTACGTAAGTGTTACGCATCACCAAGAGCCATTAAATATTAAATTATCTATCGTATCATATTATATTATAAATCAAATAAATTGTATTTTTGCATTACATACACATACATAGATACACACATACAAACACATACATACATACACACAGACATACAAACATATAAATATACATACATACATGCACGCATAAAAAGAAAATGTTGATAAGATACATGAAACCATTTATTTCTAAATGATAACCTCATATACAATATGAATATTAATAAATGGAAATTTATATAGCTTTTAATAGTACTCAAAACCGTTATATATATATACTGATATATATGCTTTCAACCTTTCAACAAAAGATGGAACAAAGATGAAAAAATTTATCTAATGAAGCTTTAAAGTATTGATGATGACGAAGAAGAAGAAGGAGGAGGAAGAAGATGACGATGATGAAGAGGAGGAAGAAGAAGAAGATGGTGATGATGATGAAGATGATGACGATGATGAATAATAAAACTTAGTCAGGATTGAGCGATAGAGAATTTAATCAATGCTTCCCGTGTGTTCACTTTCTCATTATCATTTTACTTCACTCTCTCTCTCTCTCTCTCTCTCTCTCTCTCTCTCTCTCTCTCTTGCTATTTCTATATATCTCTCTCTATTTCTCATATTTCTTTCTTTTCCTTTCTTTCGCTCTCCCGCGCTTTTTCTTCAAATAAGTTTTTATTGGTGGTGGTCGAAATTACGGTAGTTCTACAAATTATAATTGTTTTACATTTTTACATTTCTCTCTCTCTCTCTCTCTCTCTTTCTCTCATTAGTAGTAGTAGTAGCAACAGTAGCAGTAGTGGCAGCAGTAACAACAGTAGTTGTAGTAGTAGTAGTAGTAGTAGTAGTTAAAGTATTAGTAATATTAATAATATCCAACTGATTGTAATTGTTATAAAGGTATTTATTAACTATCGACGAATTTGGTTATTTATTCATTCGTTCGTTCATTCATCTATTCATTCATTCATTCATTTATTTATTCATTCATTCATTCATTCATTCATCCAAATGGTCATCTAAACAGTCATTCAGTCATTCATTCACTCACACAGATATTTATGAATCCGTCTAATTTCACATTCAGTTAATAGTATGTTCATTCATTCATTTATCCATTCGTTCGTTCGTCGATCCGTTCATTAACTCATTCATTCATTTGTTCATTCAATAATCCAATAATTGGTTTGCTAATTCATTCATTCATCCATCCATTCATCAATTAATTGATCAATTCATTCATCCGTTCAAAAATTAAATTACCCGCCAAAGCTTTAATCCTCGATCTTTCGAAGAGCTTAGCTGAGCTATTCTCATCGTCGTCGTCTTCAACATCAGTCTTGTGATGGTTGTTACTTGCCTCGAACTTCGTATTGTTCGCCACAACAGCAGTAGCCATCCTATTTGATCTTCGCTATATGCAGTAGAAAAATTATCAATAATTATTATTTTAATTTCACAGTTTTGTAGCCTAAGAAGTAGGGACGCTTGATCCGGTGTCTAAGCAACCGACTTCGAATGCAACGAGTGTCCGTGCTGTATTTCTTCGGATAGGACTAAGTGTATGAGGTGTTTATGTCTTTTTGTAGTAATTGTTTTTGTTTACTTTATTCGCATTTGCAGGTTCTATGGTTATATATATATATATATATATATATATATATATATATATATATATATAAATATATACTTCTTATTTATATTCAGAGGGGAAAAATCCTAAAATTATAAATCAAAAATATCAATAACAATAGCAATAATAATAATAATAACTTCAATAATTTTAATAATAATAATAATTTAAATCAACGACGGTAATTGCTAAGTGTAATAAAACCAAATGTCTATTTAATAAACAAATAAACAAACAAAAATAAAAAAAATAAATTGTTCGTTCGTTCATTCATTCATTCATTTCTTCATTCATTCATTCATCATTCATTCATTCATTAATTCATTCATTCATTCATTCATTTACCTTTTAAAAATTTACCTGATATATCAAGGGCAAAATTTGTCAGAACTGCAAACCAGTCAAAACTGCAATCGAAAGGTTTATACACAGATTTCAAAAATTTTATTATAACTATATTAATTCAATTATGGCGATCTATAATTAAATAAATATAGATATAAAATTATGAAAATATATCCAAATATTTATTACTTTCTACCCCCAAAGATCAAAATTTAGGTAGAATATGTATGAGATAATTCAATCTAAACGAAAAATATGCAATCTCTAGAATGTCATATTATGTATAAATGTTTGTATGTATATGTGTATGTATGTGTGTGTATATATGTATGTATGTGTGAGTATATATGTACGTATGTGTGTGTGTATATGTGAGTGTGCGTGTGTATGTGAAAAAATAAGTTACCTCACTTACCTGTATAGTATGTGAGAGACGATGAACGCTACATTGAGCTAGTAGTCTGCACTGTATATTCTTAATGTATTGTAGGCTATATGTGTGTGCGTACATGTGTATATATATGCGTGTGTGTGTGTATGTGGTTGTTTGTGTGTGTGAGTGTTTGTGTGTGTATTTATGTTATGTGCGTGTGTATGTGTGAAGTTTTGTGTGGATATATGTGTGTATGTGGGTTTTTTTACGTGTTATTGGGTTTTTTTTACGTGTTATTATTTGTGTATGTATCTGTGCTAGTTTAGTTGATCAGGTTGATGTGTGGTTTTTTGTACGTAGGTGTGCAAGTAAATGACATGTTTGTATATGTATGTATGAGTATTGATGCGTGTGTGTGTGTGTGTGTGTGTGTGTGTTTGTATGTATGCATGTACGTATGTTTTTCTGTATTGAAGAATTGATCGAAAAACTCATTGGGTCTATAGTTGCCTGTTTAAATGAATTCAATATTGCTATGTAAAGTCCTACAACATATGTTTGTGTGCATGTACGTGTATGTATGTACGTATGTGTAAAAAATTGTAATTATTTATATTATATTTATTACCTCATATTATTGATAAATTATTTAGCCAGTCTGCAGCTGAATGTATGGATGTTTTACGAAGAAGTTAAATAATAAATCATTCCCACATTTTTAGCCAGGTATTTTTGCTGTATATATAAAAAAAGAATATATATAAAATAAGAATATTTATGTATATATATAATGTGGGTGTTTGTGCGTGTGTTAAATTGTGGGTGTGTTTGTGTGTGTTTGCCTGCGTGTGTGTGTGTGTACTCGATTACTGAAGCTAAATTTAGGTTCTTACTACACCGCTACTAAAGAATCATTTTAAAACAAAATTTTATAAAAATCAGATGAATGAACGTTATAATAGTTATAATATAATAATACTATTATTATAAGTAATAAAAATAATAAATACTCCGATCTTTAAAGAACTTTTTTAATTATTAAGAAAACATCTATGTAGTTAGAAAAAAAACAAACTATGAACCCATTAATTAAAGTTTAAAGCCCTTTGTAGGTATATACTGATATCTATATATAAAAATAAAAATATTACATATATATGTTATGTAATAAAAATATTATATATTTATTACGTTAAATTATAATATAAGCCAATATTTTAAAAATTGCATTTTTAGAGTCAGCAGTAGAGATAAAGAAATTTTGGTTCATTGTGAAGTTACGTCACACTGTTTTGAATTTGAAATAAATAGTTTTTGTTTATAAATAAGATAATTATATTCAAAAAAGTTAATTATAGCTGTAAATAATATATTTATTGTTATAATTATCAATAATATAACAAAAAATTTTTTAAAATTGAAGCTTTTTGAAAAGTTCATTAACAACAGTTAAAAGCAAGTGTTTTATCTTGTTTTGTTATCAGATTCACTTAACTTTTTGTAACTTTTATGAAAAAGTTGTTAGAAGTCATTAATTCTATAGCTTAAAATTTAATTTGAATAATATTTTTGTGAGTAAATCAGTTTCGCTTTCCCTTTCCATCATTTTGATATAAAAAATTAATTTTACTTTTAAAAATCTAAAAAAATCGTTGCCAGGTCTTCGCATTTGAATTTTCTAACGTTTTTGTCTGGTCTTTTTTTCGCTTACTTTTTAAATTTTCCCATTTAAGTAAGTGGTCCGGCAGGTTTACTTTCTTGTAAAACTATTACTTTTTTATTGTAAAAATTAATAAAAATAAGAAATTGTTTGAAAGACAATAATTTAGCAAAGGTGCGTAATTTGAATTAAAAACCAAATGTGCCCTTTGCCGTTTGCGGGCTCTGCTTTTTTGTCCTATTTTTTCATTTCACGTCTGTTGGCTGGTCTGTCAAAAGTTTTAACTTTTTAAGTTATTGAGTTTGACATTGAAAGAAAGAGCACTGAAATTGGAAAGAATTTTGTTTTTAAATTACAATAGTTTTATTTTATTTATTTGAGATTTAATGTAATTTTATTAATGCTAATTGTCACATTCAATAAACTGTTAACAGTGCTGATAAAAGCAAGCAGTTTATTGAGAATCTACTACACAGCTTTCTGTCTGAGGTCTGTGATGGCCTGGAGATCCAGTGGAAGAAACCAAGAGGAACTGATTTCAAATCTTGAAAGTAGAAAAAATTATATTATAATAACTATAATTAATTATAGTATTAATTTTTAATGATAATTAGCTTGCCTATTATGTAATATTAATGTTGAATCTCTGGAGTGTAATTCAAAATCAAATTTGTCAATTTTTACATATTTTTACTCTAAATATAAATAGTAACTTCAATTTTTAAACTATGTGCTATAACAATAAGAAAAAAATTCAAATGTGATAAATAAAAAAAAATTCAAAATTTAACAAAAAATACACTATGTCAACTTGTCCCTACCACCATAGAAAATGGAGTGATAAAAAGTATCAAAGTGGGAGCAGCAATGCGTGCCATAGACAGAGGATTCTACACTAAGCAAAATCCATACCAGGATTCACCCCAACCCATTGGATTTTCTGCAACTATCAGCGCCCCTCACATGGTTTTGTATGTGTGTGTGTGTGTGTGTGTGTGTGTGTCTGTGTGAGTATGTGTTTGTTTGAGTGTCTGTGTGTGTATTTGTATGTTTGAGTGTATGTGTGTGTGTGTGTATGTGTGTGTTTGAGGGTGTTTTTGAGTGTATGTTTGTTTGTGTAAATTTTTGTTTGTTGCTAATTCAATTGAATGTCAAGTTTGTATGTGTTGAAATGAATAAATAGCTGGTCACATATTTACGATTTACTTCATATCAATACTTTAATAAAAGTATTCATCTGATTGTATGCAAACCTCATACATTATCGACAACACACACACACAACTTCACACTCACACACACAACTTCACACTCACTCACACAACTTCACACTCACACACACAACTTCACACTCGCACACACAACTTGACACATACACACACACATACACTTACACACATACACTTACACACATACACATACACACACAGCATGCACATGCTCTGGAATCATTAGTGGATCACATAAAACCAGGTGGCTCTGTCTTGGATGTTGGCTCAGGAACTGGTTATCTGGTTTCATGCATGGCTCACATGGTTGGCTGTTGTGCTATTATTTTTTTTATGAGAATGTAGCCTTTTGTTTTTATATATCTGCCATTTATTTAATAATTTTAATGATAGATGAACAAAACTGACACACAAGAACGAACATATTGAAGGTAGGTGATAATGGGAAAGCTGTAGGTATTGAGCACATTGAACAAATTGTCAACAGTTCCATTGAAAACATCAGACAAGACCCCAATGCATCAAAATATTTGGAATCAGGCATCATACATTTGTTTGTTGGTGATGGTAGGAAGGGCTACGAAGCAATGGCCCCCTACGACGCCATCCACGTCGGAGCGGCTGCTGATACTATCCCTCAACCTGTTAGAAATTTAGTCAATGTAACGTGTGTGTGTGTGTGTGTGTGTGTGTGTGTGTGTGTGAGAGAGAGAGAGAGGGAGAGGGAGGGAGAAAAAAAAAGAGAGAGTGTACATGCACTTTTGCAATTTTTTTATTAAGTTTACAATCAGTTATTTATTAAAACCGTGAACTGACTTACCTTGCCGAAAACAGCTGATCGATCAGTTGAAGCCAGGAGGTCGCCTGATCATCCCCGTGGGTCCCGAAGGACGCGACCAACAATTCGTTCAAGTGGACAAACTGGCAGATGGAAGCGTCCATAAGCAGTCTTTGATGGGCGTCATTTACGTTCCACTGACTGATAGGGAGCGCCAATGGCCAAGGTTCAATAATTGTCTGATTTCATGAGCTTGGGGGTTTCATTCATTTCTCGATTTTACGTGATCAGATAGCGCGCGTTGTTAGTGTTTATGATGTACAAGCCGTTGTAAATACTTATATATCTGTTTCGCGTTGTACATAAATGTTGTTTGTATTCGTGTGTGCGTGTGTTGTGTGTTTCATTTTTTTATCAGCATTTTACGTGACAGTTTTGATTAAAAAATACATATATGTCTATCTATGACTCTTTGCAATACAACTCTTGAAATCTGAATTATTTTTCGTGAAAACATTAAAGTACAAATCACTGATAGTCTAAAAACGTTCGTGAAAATTAAACGCTTTAAAATATTCACGTAAGAATAAGTGCACACACAAACAAACATACACACACACACACATATATATATATATATACATACATTTATATACACATATATGTATGCACATATACATATGTATGTGTGTATAATAAGGGGAGTGTATTGAGAAAAATCCTCTTCCCACAACCAAGCAGTGCTCCCATGTCTCCAAACTTTTCCAACTCCAATCCCAACAATACCGCTCCCGACAACGCTGGAATTGGTTGCATTTACAACAGTGTAGATGACGAGGAGGGGGAAGGGGGCGATGGGTCAGAATTATCTCTCAGAATTATGAAGTCATCGTCGCATTGTAGATTTCTTCGGATTGAAATTGTCGTCACTGTCTTCTATCTATGGACTTTGTAATTGAGATACTTTTGATTCTGTGATCCTAGTAAGAAGTAAAATGATAGGTTTCGCCACTAATTGTGATAAGCTTAATAACGATTTTGGTGTTTGTTTTCAAGTTTTAATGGCAAATATAATCCATTAATGGCCTTATTAATTACACTACAATGTAGTGTTATTTTTTTAAAAAGGTAAGTTCAGTAACAGAATTATTAGTGTGGTTTACTTTAATTTACATCAGCACAAGTACATAATGATGTCAATAGTTATGAAATGAGATGAGATGATATGCATAGCTGTTCGGATGGTCTCTACTTATTTGTGGTTGGACGTTAAAGCTAATGTTATTAATTAATTAACTAATCAACTAATTAACTAATTAATTGTTCTCATTTCCTGTTTCAGATGATTTTTGTTTCACGTTTAAACGTACGTCACACCCAACTTTTCTGTAGTATCTCAGTGTATTATACACGCACACGTGAATGTATACACACGTGTATATAGTATTCAAATGAATTCAATCATATATGTATGTATGTATCTTGATCCAAATTGTACACATATATTTTAATTGTATGAATATAAATTTGTTTAAATGTTCTTAACTCGTAACCAAAATTGTTTTCCTGTTAAGCTTCTTACTTTTTCAATATTCAAATCATTTTTATTATAATACGACACACACATATAGACCACACAACACGCCTCCACTTGATTCAGACTTTGAAGCTCCTTACTACTGCTAGCGTATCAAATTTTCAGAGCTACTAGAGAACTATGAAGCAGATGGGCTGATGGAAAAAAGATAGAAGATGGAATAATGGAGAAACTTGTTTTTACGTTTTTTTTACTAAATAAATTCTGAAATGTTAATAATTTTGCGGATAAAAGATTGAAATACCTTTTCTCGTAATTATTCCGACTTGAATTGTTTGAAATTTCGTTTCGTTTCCTTGTTTATTGTTATCATTGCCATTTCAACGGCTATCGTTCTTTCTCACAAATTTTCAGTTTAAAAACATTAAATATAGCGATTAATTATGATTGTTAGCCTTTTTTTTATGTATTAAAATCTTCCATTCTTATACTTATTTCTAAGAAATAATTGTAAATAAATGCTATTAGTTTTTATTAAGAAGGAACCAACGATAAGGAACCACATATATTTGGATCATAATAGGAATAGTAGTGAAAGCGAGAACATGTACGCGTACAAGCTTATACGTTCTTAAAATTTTCTTATTACAAAGCAATTTTTGACATGTAAATACCATAAGAGCCAATGCTTGTATAAATAATGCGACCGTATATATATATATTTATATATATTTATATATATATATAATATACATAAAAGGATCATCATGAACACAAATATTCACTATTCAAGTTAGTGTTGTATATAAGTGATGGGCTACAATACTGTTTAACTTTAAAGCAGTAATTTAAACTAACAAAGTATTAGAAAGTTTTTTTTTCTTTATATATAAGAGCCCTAGTAGAAAAGAGGAGTGCAAATTTAATTTATAAGATAACTACTTTAAAAATTTAATTCACTAACTGAAGGTTTAATAATTAATTCTTTGCTATGTCAGCAAATGTTGGAATGAAAGATAGAACGTTAATATTACCAACAACATATAGTAACAAAAATGGAAAATTCCATATTTATAAAAATATCAAAAATCTATTTGATTAAGCCTATTGTGTATGTGTACACACATACATACATATACCACACACTGATGTACATAGTGTGAGGCATGGAAATTAAACCAATGTATACAAATTAATGGCTATAAAGATTTCAGAAAATATTTAATAATGTTCCATGAAAAATGGAATAATAGTATAGAATGGATGTGAGTGATGAGAGAGACAGAGAGAGAGATTAACAGTTTATGTTCTCTCTGTTCTACTGATGATTTCCATGATACTTTCCCATTTAAGGTCTCCATGATCGTTTGCCTGGACCTCCTTGGCTATGCCTTCACCCAAGGCTTTCTTCAAGGCATCTCTGCTACTTGCATACACCATCTTTTGTTTTATCTTTGCCTTTTCTGGGCTCCTATTAAGATAAGTAATTGTAGTTTTTTATTGAATGTGAAACTAAGTGTGAGTTTGTGAAGATTTAAAGAGTAACTAACCACATGAAGAAGATCAGTTTGTTTCTTGATTGGTTGTCTTTGGTTAAGTACTCAAAATCAAAGATGGCATATCTGCATTCACACAAATCCTCTGCCTCAGTCATGTCTGCCAAGAAGTCCTCATATTCAGCGCCTGTCATGAGGACAAAATAAATTAGTAACAAACTGAATTTATTTTTCTAATCGCTTCAATGGAGGAACTTTGATGTACCTGGTTCTGCTTTCTTCTGGACCTGGATCATTTTCAGGTCAGATGAGATGCAGAAAATGACATAACGATATTTGTGACCCATCTTAACGTCCTGGAAGACAGTTTTGCATTCATCGCTCACTTGAACACCAGATGCCTTTGTTTAATTTAATAAAATTAAAATTTTAATAGAACAAAATAAAATTTAGAAAATTTTTGCTCAAAAAAGTGATTTTTACTATATACATTATTATTGATTTTATTTTATAATAATAAACTGAAATTAATCATCTACAGTATAGTGGTAATAGGATGTTAAAGAAAAATTCAAATTTCCACATAAGGCATTTTTTGGAGGCAAAATGAAAGATTAAATATTTAACAGAGTAAAGAAAGCTTCTAAAAACTGAAATATATTATAAAATCCGTTGATCTATCAATAATAAGGGAAAAAAAGTGAAATACAAGGATGTGCCTCCCCCCTGAGACTGAGAAAGGAAAAAATAAACATAAAAGTGGCCAATATTCGTCACAGGATAAAAATCTTGGCCTAGCACTCATTTATTAATTTCACTGATTTTATTTATTTAACTAAAATTGATTTTCTGCGAAAATGTTTTGGTTCCGCGTCCAGCGTCCGCCTTTCTACACAATTATTTGTCAGCCAGTTATCGCTTAATTAAATTTTCAAATTAGGAAAGAAATAAGTTGAATTGAAATAAATTAAAAAAAATTTATTTAAAAAATTATTAGAACTAAAAAGTAAGCCAACCATTTTTCAAATCTCTATAAACTCTCAAACGCTGACTGAAGTAATAAATCAGGACGAGGAAACAAGTCACGTTTCGGAGGAACAAACTTTCCGTGACAGTATCGGTCTTGTAATTATTCGGTCTTTTTTTACATTAAAACAATTATTTTCAATTTAATGCAAACATTTTCTAACAATTAATTATATTAATTTAAAAATTTTTTTAATTTATCAATCCTAATATCCAGAAACTTATTAAACTGATAAATGAAATGGTATTTATTATTCGTTACTAGCTTTTGAACAGATTATTTACTACCGCCTATTATCGCTGTCGTCTGAGATTTACGCAATTTGCTTGACAAATATAACTTATTAATTAATCTATCTTGCTGATTCTTTTATCATTTATTTATCAAGTATTTTTTCACTATTTTAAGTAAAAAATGCGAAAATGGGTTCGGAAGCCGGTCCTGATGAAAACCTTGGGAGGAGATTTCACCGTTCAGATGTGGGTTGTATCCAGTAGGTAATTCAATTTATTATTATTATTATTATAGTTCATCTTTTTTGTGAGTATTCGTCTTTGGCATTTTTTATTTTTTTAAATTAATAACTAATTAATTACTTACTTATTTTAATTATAATATCCTCTTTTAATTTTTAATAAAATAAAACAAGGTAACTTGTAGGTAAAAACTTAAAAAAAAGAACCTTCTGCTTCCTCTATTTCACTCTTTTTTTCATTCATAATATAAGTTATTTAAATTTTAATATGAATAAAAAAATTTTCATCAAACGAATATATGATGCTACACTATACTAAAACCTAGCCTTACTAAACAATTTTTAAATAAAACAGTATCTTAATTAATTTATTTAATTATGATCTGTAATTGATAATTTATTCATTTCAATAAAATAAGGCGATAGCATTGTCAAAGCTGAACTCAGCGAGGAAAGCTTAAAGTTAAACCAAGAGGACGGCATTGTCGATAACAACAACATTGCCACCGCCAACAATTCTAACGATGATAGCTCTGTAAATATTAATGAGAGCATTAGTAGCAACAACACAAACGAAAACATCGATATCATTAACAGTAGTAGTGAAAGTGTAACAATAAAAGAAGAATTATTTACTGATGATTATGTCCCCTCCTACAACAATGTTCTAGATGGTACTAGAATTACTCTTATTAAGCAAGAGTTTGGGCATAACGGTAATAAAAAAATAAAGTTAGGATTGTTTTTGTTTAAATAAAAATTTTGATTATTATTAAATTTTATTGTTTTTGTAAAATTGTACAATAGTTTAATTATATTTGTATGCCATTTTTAAAATATCAGATCTAAGAAAAAGTTGGCAATGTTTGAAGATGACTCTAAATTAATACCCTGCCCTCATAAGGTTATTACATTTTCACTTGGATTCAGTTCTAAATTACTAAAAATAACCTTCAAACTTTAAATTAATGGGATATAGCAAGTTTAGTTTACAGAAAACTTTTTTTTTTATTTACTTTGAATTAACTTTTAAACATAAAACAACAGGGATGTAACAAGTTATTCAAAGATAATTCTTCGATGAGGAAACACATACATACACATGGTCCCAGAGTTCACGTCTGTGCCGAGTGCGGTAAGGCATTTATCGAAAGCTCAAAACTACGTAGGCACCAGTTAGTTCACACAGGGGAAAAGCCTTATCAGGTGTTTTATTATATTATTCATCTTTTATAATTATTTGTTCAATTCATTTTTTTAATACTTTTAATTTAATCATATTCATCAAGTTTTATAGTTTAATAAATTAATTTTAACTAATTTTTATTATTTTATCATTATAAGTGCACCTTTGAGGGCTGTGGCAAACGATTTTCGCTGGATTTCAACCTAAGAACCCACGTCAGAATCCACACAGGTGACCGTCCGTACGTCTGCCCATTTGATAACTGCAACAAAAAGTTTGCCCAGTCCACTAATCTGAAATCTCATATTTTAACGCATGCCAAGCAAAGGTTGTGTTTCTTGTTGTCGAGATGTGTTATGGTTTTAATTTTTTTCGTTTATTTGTTTCGTAGCTTGGTTTTAGTTTAATTTAATTTAATTCGATTTAGTTTAATTTTTTTAAATGTGTCATTAATTTATTGAATTTTATTAATTTGAATTAATACTTTTAACTTTTCAATAATTTCAGCAGTAACAAGAATCAGATGATGGATGATGAATTAGAGTAAGATATTTTAAATTAAGTTTTTTTTTTTATAGCAAACCATTAAAAGTTTATTGTAAATCAATTATTATTTATATATTTTACTCATTTATTATGAAATAATTATTACTTTTTCTTATTGAAATTATACTATAAAAAAACATTTTCAAACTTTTTTTTCTGCAGTAGCTGGGCATATGAATGAATAACAGAATAGATTCCATTGAGATACATGCTGTCAACTCATGCCTTATGAACTTATATATATATACATATTTCTTTTTGTAAAAAATTCAATGTTGAATATATTATTGAGAATTGTACTTACTGTTTGTTAACTATCAAACCAAACATGAAAATTTTGGTTTATAGTTCAATAAAGTGATTATCTATTTATAAATTTAAGATTTCCATGTCTTCCCGAATGTTTATAAACCCGTTAACTAGCGAATTTAGTCTGTTTATTTTTGAACAATTTGTGTATGTTATATTATACGTATGTCAATGTGTATAGTATGTATGTGTGTTTTTGGATTAGTATCGTTGATGCTATGAAGAATGTATGAATAATTGAATATACGTTATTCGGTTTTATTATTAATGAAGTGAAGATCTATTTTTAAATTTGTTGAGATATTTGGCATCATTTGAAGTTAAATATGTATATAACGAAAATATTTATATATAACGTTGAAATATGTGTTTATGGCACGTGTGTTAGCTGATTTACATGTGTATAATAATTGAGATGAGGATGAAATAAGTTTGTGTGGATTTTCGTTTTATTGAAAAGTCATTGGCAAGTGCATTGGTTTTCTATAGATTATTTTTGCCAAGTCGCCAACTGTACTTACGTTCCACATAATGATCGTTTTTGTTTCTAAGTGCGTCTAATTTTGGCGTTGGTAGCTGTCGGATTTCTGACGGAAAGGATAATTCTGTGAAAAATACTTGCATCTAATTGCATTGTTGACTGAATATTAAGAAAGCAAGATGGTGACACCAGAAGAGAAGGAGAATTTGATGAACATTGCAAATGAGCAGGAGCTGTCAGAGGAGGTGAAGAACAAAATGGTTCTGGAGTTTGATGAAAGTGCCGAAGAAACGCAACTGACGCTGGAGGAACTCTTTCATCTGGGGCAAAAATATTTCAAGGGTAACTTTTTATTTTAGGCTTACACAGTTTTCTCAAATTAAATATTAAAATAATTAACCACAACCATGTATGGTACAAAAATACATAGATAAAATTATGAATAAATTAGAAAATAAAGATAGATTGGTGTGCAATGAATACCAATAAAACATTTATTTATTTACTAGTCTTGCATGCATCATATTCTGAATAGTATTGTAGACTCATTATCATCAGATTTTTACTTAATTTTTTTAATTTTTTTTAGACCACTCATCAGATGAAGAGATATCACATTCTGATCGCTTAAAATTAAAAAGTTTCATAAAACAAGCTAAACATGGCAAATATCAGTCTAACGTCATTTCTGATTGTGTCTATTCTGAGACCATTGGTGACCAAAGAATGTAATGATTTTATTTCTTTTAAATTACTAAATTTAAAATTATGTTGTGATTTTCACATATCTTTTATTGGTCACATATTTTTCACTCTTTATTGTTCTGTTCATATTCATCATTTAAAATTTTAAAATGCTAGTTTTTATTCTTTCCCCAATCCCTAATTGCAGTCACTATTGGGAGTCTTTAGGGGATATGTCCCAGGAGGATGCTATGAAGAACTTTCTAGATGCACTGATTAGTTTCATGCCTGATTTTATAACATATGTTAGATCTAATAACTTAAATTCTGAAGAAAATATAGGAAGGTTTATATTTATTTTATATATATATATATATACTCTATAAATTATTTCATACATATGTCATACATTTTATATATGACTATAAGACATTTCTATAATATATATATATATATATATATATATATATATATATATATATATTATATATATATATATAGATGTATATCTATATATATATTTACCATATTTTGTATATTTATATCTGTCTGTGTGTGTATATATATTTGTGTTAATAATAGTAATAATAATAACTTATTATTCGTTAATATTAATAATTATTTTAAATATTTTGTGTGGTAGTGAAAACTCAAGTGATGACGAGAGGCAGGAATATGAGATGCTGCTTAAAAGAGAGGAGATGAGGCTTAGAGATGCTAAGATGAAGTGAGAGAATGATGATATAATATAATAAACCGTAATATTATTATATCTATAATAATAGTGATGATAATAAATGATAGATAACATCATTTTAAGAAGCATAAAATGGCTATAACATGTAGTACAATTATCATTACATTACAATCATAATAAAGGAAGAGGATCAAAGACTGCTTGGACCAGCAGACAGCCATTCAGTACAGGCAGTATGCCAAACAGCAGGTCCCTGATAGCGAGGCTGAAGTAAGTGAAAAATTATCTGAATGATGATAGTAACAATGGCTCTTGCAGCTTGTGATGCATGGATTCGTGCATATTGCTCCATGTTGCCAGATGTTTCTAATTCTTTGGAGAAATAACTAAAAGTTAACTAATTAATAATTATATATTATTATGATTATATTTGTTATAATTATTAGTGATTATCTTATAATTAATAATAATGATTTCCAAATTGATAGCAAGAGGCGTTGATTGAGCAGTTACAGGAACAACATTACGAACAATACATCGATCAAGTAAATTTTTCATCTATCACTATCATCATCTTTATATTATTTATTCGATTTATAATTATTAATATAATAATAATATTATTAATATTATAATTATTAATATTATTATTATTATTATTATCATTTTTATTATCGCCGACGATTTAGGTCCACAACCAGCAGCTAATACATCAGAGACAGCAGTACTACCAGATCCAGTTGGCTTTGAAATCTCAACAGCACCAGCCATCATTCCTCAATGTCAATAATAATAATAACGATGATGATGATGATGATAATAATGATAATAGTAATAATAATAATACGCTGGGTTCATATTCCATAATAAGGAATGATAAAAATGTTGACGGTGGTGGTGGCGATGCTAATTCTAGTCAACAAAGCAAGTTAACAACGACCACCTCATCATCTCCTGCTACAAAAACGACATCATCATCATCATCATCTGCTGCTGCAACTTCCGTTGCTAACGACACTGATGATGTTAACAGTGATAATAACAACGCCACGAATGACGGTGATGATGAAGATGATGATGTCGATAATGATGGATTGATTGTTGATGGTTAGAGGGTTGTGTATTGTTAATGCTTACAAAGTTGATTGATTGGTTGGTTGGTTGATTGATTGGTTGGTTGATTGATTTATTGACTTCTTAGTTGGATATTTATAAATTATTCAATTTTCATGATCAAATAAGTAAATAATTAACTGATAGATAAATGAATGAATGAACGAATTGATTGACTAAATCTTATTGAATGATTGATCGATTGATTGTATAATTGATTGAAGAAGTGAGTGGTTTGTTGATTAAATGCTTGATTGTTTAATTGATTAGTTGGATTAATTGATGTTGCCTGATTGATTGATTATTTGATCAGTTGACTAAATGATAGATGAAATATAAGTGAATGACAACCAACCAATTATGATAGAAGAAATATAATTGATTGACAACCAACCAATTAGATAACTTTATGATGCACAACATGCCACCATTGATTCCTGCCTCACTCTGGACCAGATCCGATATAAAAGAATTCAAAGACTCCATCAGAAAATCTCCTGAAAATTGTATCAAAGTCGGCTCTCTCTCTACCGCCACAGTTAGTTTTGAATGAATGAATGACGAATGAATGAACGAACGAACGAATGATGGATGGGTGGGTGGGTGAATACATGGATGAATGAATGTTAAAATTGTATTAAAGTTGGTCTACTTCTAGTTTGTTTAGTTTAGTCTGCTGAATGGATGAGTCTTTTTTGAAATAGAAACGTGTGTATGAAATCTCATTTCATTAACTTAGTGTTCAATCTTTTGGAAGAAACTTATACCTGTCCTACTGACCTGGTCAATGGCAATTCACAAACTAACGACAAATCCTTAATTCCATAATCCCTAATCGACAGGTAAAAGTCCCAACACACGAAGACGGCACCAGGATATTCTGGGAGTTCGCCACGGATTATTATGATCTAGGATTCGGGGTTTACTTTGAGTGGACGTTGAATCCTCAACCTGACGTCACTGTACAGGTCTGTGAAAGTAGCGACGAAGAAGACGCTGAAGAAGATGCTGAGACTGGTCAGTTTGATGATTGAAAAATATAAATGTGCACACACACAAACATACACATACTCATACAATTATACATACACACACTTACACAAACAAACACACCTACAAATATACACACACGCACACACAGTTTCAACAGACAAAGGTGACATTGAGAAGGGAACTCGAACAAGAAAAGAAGGACCACCAATGGATGAAATTATACAAGTAAGCTATAAATAGTATTTGTTACTGAATATTCGTTTTTTCTACAATCATTAAGAGCTGAATAAATGAAATAAGCAACTTTCAAATTAACTTGATGTTCTACAGATACACAGAAGAGATTGCCACGAAGAGGTATATTGCGGGAGCCATATATACCCCGGTCGTGGCCTATATCACCTTAAATTCGATAACTCTTACTCACTCTGGAGATCTAAAACCGTGTATTTCAAAGTTTTCTATTCAAAATGATCTCGTTATTGTTATTAATGATGTTGTTGCTACTATAATAATTTCTACTATATCTTATTGTTTTAAATGTGTTTAACGTCTCTATCTATATATACACGTGTGTGTGTGTATATATATATATATATATATATTATATACATATATATATAGTAATAAAAATATATACAATGTATATATATATATATATATAGTACATACAAGAAAGAAAATTGAAAAGACAAACTTTAAATTGATTAATGTCAACAATTCGGTAGAATTCATACAATGCTGTATAAAATGTGGTCTTCTAACTCTTTATATATATATATACTATATATATATATATATGTATGTAATTACAGTCAATCAATACAGCCATTTTTGTTTACATTTGAATGTAACGTAATTTGTAATATTAATAATAACAATAATGTTAATGTTGAGTTGTTAATTTAATTTGTCGTACATTGTAAATCGATCATCTGCTCGTTCAAGCGAATTTTAATGCCTGCTTTGTCAGTGTGTCTCGCTGCATTTGTAGATGTGAGAATGTGTAAGTTGATGTCACGTTGTGTTTTGTGACTTAATTAATGAATTGATGTAATGAATTGATGTAGTAGTATTATCAATGTCAAAATGTAATGACTGATGTAAATATTTTGATTCTATCATGATCCAATTGATGATTGATAACCACCATAGTAAAAAAAATTACATTTTTTCCGATCATAAACTTTTTTTTATGTAGATATTTATTCTATTCTCGAATTGGGTTTTATCAAATTTTTTACGTGTATCAATTTTTAAAAATCACGCATTAAATGTGATTTTACTGTAATGTTAAAAGATGAACATCTTGAACTCTCATGCACTGATTTCAAATATAATAACTTAGGTAAACTAAGTAGATCTCTCAATCAAGTTTATATATCTATAATAAACGTATATTATTTGTTATTATTAATATTGTTTTATAGTAAGAATTACTGCTATAATTAATAATAAGCTTCTTGCTGTTTTGTATATTATGCACAGCTAAAAACAATCTACACCAGTATGTGTATAGCTTTATGTACATACATCAGTATTTGGTAATGTAACACACACACACACACACACACACACATATATATATATATATATATATAAGTAGTTGTAATACTAAATGGAGCTTGCTTTTCCGTTGTTGATGTCTTTGGTTGATACTATCGTTAGTTAATGTAATGTAATGTAAATATGATTACTTCTGTCAGATTTTTTTTTTAGATTTGTTCGTTAATGTAATTAAATTGAAAATAATAATGATAATAATAATAATAAATTATGATAAGTGTTATCATTATTTATTATTATTATTGTTATAAATTTTAACCATTATACAACTTGAAATGTGTATGAAATTTCATTTTAATTAAAATAAACTGCATAATACGGATCATTTAACTAAGTTAATTATATTATATATAGATGCTATTTATCAAAGGACGCATGGGATTTCGTTATTTATTGCATACCATTCTCGTTAAATAAAACAACGGTTGTACGCATGTGTGTATTGCATTTTGTTTGTATCAATATTTATGTGGCAGTGGTAGTGACGACTACGACCTCAGAATCCGCGATAGAGCTTTAACTGATGTGAGATTTAGGCCAAGTCTCTTCGTTTTAGTGTACAACATCGGAAATGAAACTGTTCGGAAGATATAATTATAGTTATTATGGATAGAAAATTTATTATTATGGTTAGTATTATAATTTAATTATTATTATAATATTAATAATTTACGCAGATGATAATGATGATCATAAAAACGAAGAGGATAACGACGATGACGATGTGGATTGGAAATTAATCCGATTCAAAATCAACAAAAGTATCATTAATAATTAAAAATAATTATTATAAATATTATTATCATAATTATATTTATTATTAATGAATTATGAATAAATAATTGAAAAATCTCTCGGACCGTCTTGTAGCTCGCTGATGGTAGAAGCCTCAGGTAGACCATACCAATGTAGAAACAAGGATAATAATGTTAGCATCTTTAAGATAGACTGCTGTTGGTGTGGCTGTCGTTGATGTAGCTGCTGTTGATGCAGCTGCTGTTGCTGCTGTAGAATGTTAATGATGTCGTCGTTGTTGTTGTTGGCGGTGGTAGTTGTAGCGGTACAGTTGGATAGCTTTCCTGAGATATAGCTATTGAATACTGATTTGAAATCTGCAGAATTATCGTTGGTAATTGTTTTTTCTTAAACACTTTATTAATTAATTATAACTACACGCCACCAACCAACCAAGAAATCAATTATTTAATCAATTAACCAATCAACTATTTAATTAACCGATCGATCAACCAGTCAATCAATTAACCAATCAACTATTTAATTAACCAATCAATCAACCAGTCAATCAATTAACCAATCAACTATTTAATTAACCGATCAATCAACCTGTCAATCGAGTAACCAATCAACTATTTAATTAACCAATCAATCAACCAGTCAATCAATTAGCCATCGTCAATCAAACTAAACCGACAAACCTCTATCGTCTGCCATCTTCAACAACAACCTCTCGACATTAGTGGCCGTTGAAATTAGAAACTCCTCACCGACGATTTTCAACGACGGTGAAGACGGCGACGATGTGGAAGGATCCCTGACGAAGACCTCGTTAAAATAGGCAGACAGGATTTTGAACTGCCACACTAGGAATGGTTGGCTGTTGGTTACATCAGTCTTCAGGATGGATAGGATGCTCTGTTTGTCACGCAATGATGATGATGGTGATGATGTCGTAATAATAATAATAATAATAATTATAATAATAATGATCATAATAATGTTGACGAGAATGAAAAAGACGATGACAATAATGTTGGATGTTATAAACATTAATATGATCAACAAGATATAATAAATGCATATATTCATACGCACACATACATATATACATACTTACATATATACATACATACATACATACATACATACATACATGTATGTATGTATGTATGTATTTTTTGAACTAGCCCAACCCTCGATGGATTTTTTACCTGTTTGCATCGAGGTTCTTGGCCCGATGGACAACAACACTTCAATATTTTTTAAAAAGATTTGCAAAATGATAAGTGGCAGGTCTGGCGACAGCAGAGAGCTATTTTTCGCCATGAATTATATATCTTGTTTGCTGCAAAGGTTTTTGCGCGTCTGTGTTACCGAAAATGTTCAATTAAACGCCGACGTGAGCGAATAACGAGATATCAATTGTTAACCGATTTTTTCAGATGTTTGACTGTTTAGTGTCACTCATCGCTGATTTGGTTTTAACATACATACATACATACATACATACATACATACATACATACATACATACATACATACATACATACATACATACATACATACATACATACATACATACATACATACATACATACATGTTGATACATGCATTCTGGATGGAGTGCAGTGCTGTGCGAGACCAGGGACATAGATAAAAGTTAAACTCGGAAACGATTGCATGCCTAACCATGGCTTGTTCATCAAAACGGGTTCATACATACATGCATACGCACATACATGCATACATACACACATACATGCATACGTACACGAGTACATACATACATACTTACCTGGTGTACATCAATTTGGTCGGGTAATACTTCAGTGGTGTCGTTGTATAGATATTTGTACATTATTGACGGTAGCTTGTATGGCGTTATTACCTGCTAAATATTTGTATGTTTTTGTTGTTAGTAAAAGAACGAACGAACGAACGAACGAGTGAAAGAAAAGAAGAAAGAATGAATGATAAACGAGCAAGCAAATGAATGAAAAAAAAGGAATATAAAAGTGAATCTATAATAATAACCTTTACATCGGCATCTTCATTTGTCGATAAGAACATTTTAGAATAATCCAGAAAGTAAGAATTTATCGTCGGTAGGCCAATGTCTTTTTGCTGTTTGTGAAATAATAGTAATAAAAATAATATTAATAATAACAGAAAAATAGCAATCCAAGTTATTAATTATAATAACGGTCTTAACTTGCAGCAACCGAGTTCGAACGCAAGGGGCTACCTACCCGTCCGTATACAGAATATTTGTGTTTGTATATGTGTGTGTGTACGTAAGTATGTATACATGTGTATGAGTGTGTGTGTAGTACACTGTAGTAATAATTATTTTATTATGATTATAATTAAGACGTTAATATTATTATAATTAAGGACGAGTGTACTTTGAATAGCCTTTCGATGAGTTCGTTTTTTTCCTCAGCAGCGTCAATGCCATTTGTGCTGTTCTGTTTTTGGTTGGAATATGAAAATTTAAAAAAAAAACCATTTAAGTCAATCAATTAAAGAGTAAATCAATCAATCAACCAATGAGTAAATCAATCATTCAATCAATCAATAATTCATTCATTTAATCAATCGGCGATGAACCAACCGATTTAAGTGTTTTCCCAGAGCTGTTGGTCTTTCGTTTAACATACAAACAGCCATGACCAAACAAAACCGATCTTTGATTACATGAATGTATTAATGTTAATATGTAATCTTCGATTACAAAATAGTAGAAATGTATAATCTTTGGTTACGTGACGGCGTAGTAAATTTAATCTTTGGTTGCCTGATCTAGCACTACGTATGATATTATCTTTGGTTATAGACATTACAATACAAATAAACTGAAGAAAACAGCTAACTAAATAAACAGTATTGATAATAAAAACAACAATATTAATAACAAAATTTAAAATAATGTGTTGTTGAATGATGAACATAAAGCTAACTTGAGCGAGTTCCAATTAACGCTATCTTTGAATGTAACATTCCAATACTGTTCATCTGTTATGTTCACCTAAACAATAAACATCATCATCATCAACATCATCTTTTTCTTCATTATCATCATCATCTTCTTCATCATCATCATTTCTTAAAACATCATCATCATCATCTCTGTAAACATCATCATCACCATTATTACAAAAATCATCAACATCGTCACAGAAACAGTCGTTTTTTTCATCATAACCAACATCATTATCATCGCTATCGTCATCATCTCTTGTCAACACTATCATCATCATCATTATCATCTTCATCATCATCATCATCATCACCTCTGACAAAGTTTCCAGTTCAGGTAACAGAACAGGAGCTGTCATCTGCACGATCTTTCCACTATCCTTCAATTTGTGAAGTATGGAATGATTGAAAAACTTGAAATAAATAAAAGAGAGAAGAAAGAGAAATAAAGAGAGATAGTTACGGAGATGAGAGAGTACGATAGTGAAAGAAACAGAAAGAGCGAGAGAGAAAGAGAAAGAAAGAGAGAGAGAGAACTACCCCTTTAAGATTTATGATTGATGTATGAAATATGAAACGGTTGAAAAAAAAGATTCAGAGAAAGAAAGAAAACAAAGAGAGAGAGAGAGAAAGAGAGAGAGAGAAAGAGAGAGAGAAAGATAAAGAGAGAGAGAGAAAGAGAGAGAGAGAGAGAGAAAAGAAACGCCATCAGCAAACCTTATATTTGACGGACACCTTGACATAGCAGGCCTGATTCGTATCTACATTCCTAGCTATCAACAACCTCCTCTCGACAGCGAGCACATACATGTGCCTGAGAGCCTGCAAGTGAAATCTGGAGGAATCATGAAGATTTATTTTCACCGTGAAAGCATACATGAAGTGAAAGAAACGATAACTGTCAATGATAATCAAGATTAAAAGTATATATATATATGTAGTAAAATGACATGAACTGATCTCCGAAGCTCGTCATCCTATTAAAAGAACGACTACCACGAGAGCAGATCAGTCCCAAATGCGGTTCATTTAACTTGCATTTCTATCGCAGTAAATACTATAGGACGACGAAATTGCTGTATAGATAAGGTAGTCGATAAATTAATTCATCAGTCCATATATATATTAAGTTAATGAGGGACAAATCAAAAGTATTAAAACAACCTCAAGGGGATTGTTATAATAATAATAATAATAATAATAATAATAATGATAATAATAACAACAATAATAATGATAATGATACGCCAGCAAATGTCTTCGAAACCTGTTATCATTAGCGTGTATAGGCCACTTGGGAAAGAACGCGCAGAACATAGCTGCTATGGCTTCAGGTTTCGTTGATAAGGTATATCTGTATCGTCATCATCTTTAGCATCATTATCATCGTTAACATCATCATCATCGTCGTCATTGTTTTTACTATCATCATCGTCTGCGTCATTGTAACCTACCTAAGTAGTAAAGCTCTAGTCATCCAAATCTACGTCATCATCATCGTCGTCGTCATCATCATCATCAGAACCTACTTTCCGCCTCCAAGCACCAGCAAACCGCAGGCCATCCCAATCGCCATATGGTTGCCGTAGTGCACGTGGGTGTTGATGCGTGACCTAAGATGGCGACAGATTCTTAGTAAGGGTAGGTACCCGGTACCGCACATGACCTTGATATCATTTGGTATCATTTGGTATTTTTTGGTATTATTATTATCAGTATTACTATTATTATTATTATTATTTATTACGTCATAAAACTGGATATAACAACTCACCACGGATATAGTAAGAACAACGAGACAAAAACACTGTTTCAATACATATCCATCTGTGCTTCTACTACTGCTGCTGCTAATATTACTGCTACTACTTCTACTGCTGCTGCTACTACTACTGCTGCTACTACTACAACTACAAACAAAATAAACAACCACTAACCATAGACATACTGAGAACGACGACGCACAGACACTGCTCCAGTGTATACCTCCCAGCCATTTGTAGAGAGCTAGGTCTTTTTTGCCAGCGCATAATCCGGTCGAAACACTTGTGCTACATAAATTAATTATGGAATAAAATAATATAATATTATTATAATTATTATAGCCGTAATTATTACCAAACAATTATAGGCTTTCAGATCAGCTGAGCCAGCGTATTTCAGTGCAATGACCATACATCCGCCGGCCATTATGTTCACGTACGATTGACTGTTTGATTGGTCCATTGGATAATGGAGTGATTGGTTGATTGACTAATTAGTTAATAGATTGATTGATTAGTTAATAGATAGATTAATTTGACATTGAATGATTGATGGATTGCTAGATTAATTGGAGGAATGAATGATTGATTGAAGAGTTGATTGACAGAGTTGATAGCAGTAGTAATGGTGTATTTAAATTTGATAGTTTTATTTAACTACTAATACCAACAGGTTGTCTAATGGTAATTAATTAAGAATTAATTAATTAATTAATAAAGCAATTTACTATTTAATTAACCTCATATGTTCTAGATCAACAGCCATCTCGTCATTTTGAGCCATGTTGCACTTGTCAAAGGCGCACTGCTTTATTATCTGCGCAATGAATAAACTAAATTAATGGATGAATGAATGAATGAATGAACGATCAATCAATCAATCAATCAATCAACCAACCTTAGGTATGTTTTTATCAATCCATTTCATTGTAGGCTCAACATGTTTCCACATTACCAGCCCATAACCTATAGTCTGTGTTTGGTCACAACAACAACGACAATGGGAACAATCTTTCATTTAGCAATAAAATCAACGAAAATGGCAGTAAAAATAAAATAAAATAATGAAATGTCAAATGCAATGAATAGAGTATTAATCTGCAAGGCTCATCATTCGAATCGAGAGGAGAGTACGACCAGAGTTAATTAGCTTTAAAATTGATTCGTTTCACATTTCTGTCGCAATAGATAGCGTACGACGATGATAATAATAATAATATTAACGATAACATCAAAAAGAATAACAACAACAACATTAAAAATAATAATAATAACGACAACAAGAGCAACAAAAACCAACCCTTAACATCAGGAGGTCTGGTTTTACATTTTCCAGAAGAGATGGTGTGTCTGGGGTTGTTAGCCATTCTGCTACTGAACTGTTTGAAGGTGTGTGGGTACAATAATCATTATTTTTTCGTATTATTCATCTATTTTCTCTCTCTCTCTCTCTCTCTTTCTCTCTCTCTCATATACACATACATACAAAGTCTCTCTCTCTCTCTCTCTCTCTCTCTCTCTCTCTCTCTCTCATATACACATACATACAAAGTCACAAAAAACCATTAGGATAAAAACGCAAGACTAAAAAAACACACACACACACATACACACACACACACACACACACACACACACACAAATACATACATACACACATACAGACCTATTCATAGAGTTGAAGAACATGAGGCTGAGGGCAACCACAGCTCCAGGCCCTGTGACGTCAACATTGACGCAATCGCCCTCCTTTATCTGGCAGCTTGTTGACTTAAACTTCTCTCTATGAATGTTCGACTGTTTGTGTGCGTGTTTGTGTTTGTTTTTGTGCGTGTTTGTGTTTGTTTTTGTGCGTGTTTGTGTGTGTTTTTGTGTCGGATTTGAATTTCCCTTCATGCGAATTTGGCTATGAATGAATAAATGTGTATTATATATTGGGTGTGAATTAGTTTGTCTGTGAACTTTGGTGTGAACGTAGGAGTGTATGGGAGTGAATTAAGAGTGAAACGAACTGATAACAACAACAACAACAACAACAAAATGAACAACACTCGTCAACATCATCAACAACGAACCAATGGCTTCCTCTTCTTTCCGTTCATGTAGTAGTACAAATGGTCAGGCATCTCACTGCCTGATATCTCCAACAGGTCGGTCCCCTTCTGTTAAAATTATTATAATTATAAATATTATTATTATTAGTAGTAGTAATATAATTATTACTTTATGATTATTATAACTTATAAATTAAATTTTGATCAAATGAGAACCAGACACATCAAAATTAGCCAGTCTCGGCCATTTAAAAATAGGGATCATTGATAGTCCCCAACCCTTCCAGCCTCAACATTTGTCAGAGTGGCCCTTCTCTGGCCCCCCCCCCCCCCCTATGTGTTAATGCAACGAGCGAAACACGAATAGATACTAAACACAGTAGGCCCAACTTACAGCTAGCATTACATTGCCCAGAGCAAAACCAGATGCCAACGAGTAAGACTCTCTATCGAAGCTGTTCTCCATCTCTGGTCCAGGAGGTCTGCCTATAATTATAATTATAATAATGAATAATTATAATTATAATGAATAAATCAACCAAGCATTCAATTAATTAGCCAATTATCCAATTAACCAACCAACCAACCTATCTCGGTCAGAAGAACTTCTGATATATGCCTGTGGGCTGAACCCTGGTATACTAATCCAATGCCATAGATGCAGGCCACCTATAAATAATAATAATAAAGTAATAATAATAATAATAACAATAATAATAATAAGACATACACAAGCAGACATACTTGTACACAGTGGGGAACATCTAGCTCAGTAGAGGTCGGTGGAAGTAGTGATGAAATGTGTATACTGAGAGTCCTAACTATCATCATGTCCATGCTGCCTCGTCTGTATGTGTGTGTGTACGTGTGTGTGTTTGCGCGTGTGTATTTGACGTCTGTATGTAAATGTTTGTAAATGTATATATTACAAATATTTAGAAAACTGTGTGTATATGTTATGTGTATTTTAAGCCTTGTGTATTTTAAAGAATAAATGTGTGTATATATACATATATATATATATATATTTGTCTGTTTGTACGCTTGTCTATTTGTGTATACGCAAATTATTGTATGTGTGTATGTGTGTGTGTGTATGTCCGTTTATGCGTGAGCATGAATGCGAATACAAACTTGTTAGCAGACATTCCTAACAGTAATCCAATACTGATCATTTCATTGCCCTGGTTTTAAGAGATAAAAATATATAAAAAAAAAAGTTATTTATAATTATTATAAATAAATAATTTGGATATAAACTCACACACACACAAAGGCACTCTCACACACACACAGACAGATAAACAAACACATACACAAACGTATACACACATATATACCTTGACAGAGCCCATGCAAAAATACAACATACATACATACACAGGAACATCAGGCATACACAGAAATACCTTGATCAGGTAATCATGCACGTTGAGCGTAGCCAAATCAGAAAGATGACCATTCAGACCGTGCCCCATTAAAAACCCTGCATGCTCATTGGTCAGTTTTTCGCTCTTCATCTTATTGAATAAGACCCACGTTGGTTCCATCTGTTGTTACGTCAATCAACCAACCAACCAATCATTCACTCACTCAGTTACTCGCCAACCAACCAAACAATAAATCAGTTAATTTATTAACTCACAAATCAATCAATCAATTAATCAATCAATCAATTAATCAATCAACCAACCAACCAATCAATCAACCAATCATCACCCACTCAGTTATTCGCCAACAAACCAAACAATAAATCAGTTAATTTATTAACTCACAAATCAATCAATAAATCAATCGATCAATCAATCAATCAACCAATCAGAATGAACCAACCTGAGAGGAACTGGTGAGCCTCAACCCGGCAGCAACTCCATTATGAAATTGTGGCCAGTCTGTTAGGTTACCAGGAAGGTCGATATGAGTCATCTCGATTATATTGTTCCTTTATTAATTAAATTATAATTAATTAATTTATTTATTAACTAATTAGAAAATAACCCCAAACGTACATTTTGAATGTTAATTTCCGAAACTCTTTCACTATTCAACAATAATAAATGTTGAAAGGCTCTTTGCAATTTAAATATTGAAAGGGTCTAAAAACCAAAAATTTGCAATCACACATACACACACACATGCACGCACATACACACATATACGCAAACACACACACGCGCGCGCGCGCACACACACAAACACCTTGGAGGCACTCGACCAGAAAGACATAACTTGGGCACCGGTATTGGTTCAGTTGGTACTGTCAAATAAGTACCCAATGTAAGCATGCCTCTGCATAAATTATAATAAATTATTGTTATAACTATAACAGATCAATATGAAAAATTATAATAAATTATCAAAAATTATGTTAATTAGACCTGCCATAACTCACCTGCCAACTGATAAGGACATCGTTCTGATGCTGATAGCGTACAAGTACTTCTCCTGTTCATCAATGAACTCGTGGTCACTAGAGACATTTATAATATTATAATTAGCTGTAGTCTATCGTAATGATGAATATTTATTAAGTATTAATAATAAAAAGAAGAAGAAAAAGAGGAAGAAGAAGAAGAGGAAGAAGAAGAAGAGGAAGAAGAAGAAGAGGAAGAAGAAGAATTAAAACCGACCTGACACCAGGTTTTTGTTGAATGGCGACTCTGATAGGCAATGAACTTTGCAGTAATTTTTTGATCTCCTTGATCCTCAAATCTTCGCTAAATCTCAGTTTAAGTATCTTTGCAAAGTAATTATGAATAGGTAATTATAAATAATTATATTATTATTGTTAATTATTCAAATAATAATAATAATAATCAGTGCCTCAGTATCTAGATGATCCATGCCATCCCCTTCCTGCTTGCTATCAGCCAGCAAGTTGCTTTCATTTTCGAAATTCTTCAGTCGCTCTTCGTGCTTAGCATCATTATCATGACTCTTCCTACGAAGATTCTGATTGGCCAGATCCTCTCGTCCTGATTATGCGATTGGTTTAAGTTTGAAAAATGGATGGATTGATTGATTGATTGATTGATTGATTACCCAATAAACCCTTCAATAAGTCAGTCAATGAATCAAACAACCAATCAATCAACCAACAAACAAACCAACTAACCAATCAACCAACCAACCAACCAACCAACCAATCAACCAACCAACCAGCCAACCGACCGATATAATGATACATTTCCGTAGTCCATCCAGTGTTGGGATGCATCCGACAATGATGAATTGACTCGATGATTGGCAGTCGTAAACATGGAGGAAGATTTTTATCTATGCTGCTTGCTAATTGGTTAGTTAGTTGATTGATTGATTTATTGATTGATCGATTGACTGAGCGGGTGATTGATTGATTGGTTAGTCGATTAATTGGATTGACTGATAGGTTGTTTAATTAAAATAAATAAATAATTACATAATGTATTGATCGCCTGGTTGAATGATTGATTCATTAATATTTAAAAAAACATAGGTAGACACAAGCTAACATACAAAAAACATACAAAAAACAAACGGACATCCAAACAGACATACAAACAGACATACAAACTAACCCAAAACCGTTAAACGAAGCACTTTAGCAAAAACATCATCGCCACCACCACCACCACTATTACTACTACTACCGCCAACAACACAACAACAACTATTATTATTATTATTATTGTTGTTGTTGTTGTTATCATAGTAACTCAAATATTTCATAACATCATCGACATCAACGATAGCAAGAGGCATTGTTGGCGACTGATTTGGAGTTAATGTTATTAATGGCTTTTGTTGCTGTTGTTGTTGTTGTTGATGATGATGTTGTTGCTGTTGTTGTTGTTGTTGCAGCTGACGTTGTTGAGCAAATAAAGAAAACGAATTAGATAGGTTGGTTGTTGTTTGCGGCTGTGGTGACTGTAGTAAGATTAACTCTTGTCGACGTAATTGTTGTGCTGTTAAAGTTATCTGTGGAGTTGTCATCGCCGCTTGCATTGTTGTTGCTGCCTGTGTTGTTGTTGTGGCTGCTGTGGTTGTTGTTGTTGTCTGCTGTGAGATGCTTTTTAAATATTTACTCATTGTTGTGTGGCTGTCGTTGTTTTCATTTGATGACGTCGACGATAATTTTGGAATCAGTCTAATCACGTATATCTGATGAAGTTTGTGTACGTACGCATGTACGCATGTATGTACGTACGCATGTATGTATGTATGTATGTATGTATGTATGTATGTATGTATGTATGTATGTATGTATGTATGTATGTATTATCGTTGTTGCTGTAAGGAGCTTTTATAGAGAACATTGAAAAATAAGAATAATAAAGAAAACTTTATACCATTATAATGTGCTGGACTCTCAATGTTTGACCTGGTATGTATGGAAAAGGTTGCAACTGGTGGTGTAGCTTGTGAGGTAGAGATTGCTGCTGCTGTTGCTGCTGTGGTTGTTGTTGTTGCTGCTGCTGCTGTTGTTGTTGCTGCTGTTGTTGTTGTTGCCGTTGTTTCTCTTCATGCTGTCGTTGTTGTTGTTGGGTAGAAATGAATTTGTAGATCCAATCAAATATGCTTGGGGGTTTTGAATCGAAAAACGCTGGCACCTGAGAAGCTAATTCAAATGAATGAAGAACCTCAAGAGAATACAGACGAATATATCACTATTATATATCGGTCAAAAGGTCATATAGGAAACAAGCCAACAAAGTGCACATTACGCGCACACACACACACACACACACACACAACATACATGCACACACACAAATGCAAACACACACACAAAAACCAACCACTAAACAGACCAACAGGAAGTCTATCTGTCAAGCTAACATCGTCATCAGCACCTATTCCATCATCATCATCATCACCATCGCCATTGATGAGGTGATCATAATCATTACCCCCGCCACCCAACATAATGTTATTATCATTATCGTCGTCGTCGTTGTAATGTTCTAAAAATAGCTTGGGCACATCCCTGCTGTAGTAGTCCAAATAGGCAGCTAGATTCATGTGGCTGGCGATTTGGGGGGTTTAAAAATTAAAAACACAATAATGTAATCATAATAATTATAAATTATGAATTCGTCAAGAAAATCTATAGTAAGTAATAATAATTAAATATGAAAATATTTTGCAGTCGGCATAATATAATTGCATATTAATGGCTAATCATAATTTCCTAATATCCCTTTTTCTCCCCCCTCCCCCTATCGTTTCCTCTCTTTCTCTCTCTCTCTCAACGCATACACACACAGAGAGACACACACACAAACGAACAAACAATACAAACACATACAAAGCCATATAATGCAGTAGTTGGGCCATATCAAATATATCAGACTGAAGGGTTATATCCAACTTCATCTCCTTCAGGAAAAAAATATGAATTAATATAATTATAATAATAATAATTATTATAATTATAATTATTATAATTAATAATTATAATTATTACCAAAAAGTTACAAGCGTATATCTACCTCATGTAGAAGATGGAAAGCAAAAAAGATTGTATGTGCATATGGGTACAGTGGAGAGTTTTTGTTGACGGTGATTTGTTGAAATTTTTTTGTTGTTTGTTGTTGTTTTGTTGATGACGTCTGTTGTTGCTGCTGCTGTTGTTGTTGTTTAGTTGTGCCTTTTTTTATTCTCTGTAATCTTTGACACTGTTGTTTTTGATTATGTTGGGATTGAGACCTCAATTGTCCATCTAATCGCTGTTGTTGTTGCTGATGATGATGTTGTTTTTGTTGTTGTTGTTGATGATGATGTTGTTGTCGCTGCTTTCCTAGTTGATTAACGCCAGGAAAGGTGAATCCATTGAAGAACGACGACTTAAATCTTTTCATATTCAATGAGGCTAGCATATCTCTAAAGTTCTACGTGCGTATAAACACGTAATAATAACAATAATTAAAATAATAATATTATTATTACTATTATTATTAATTATATTAATTATAAAAAATAATTATAATAATTACTTTGTTAGTCCCTTCAAGAGAGAGTTTCATTTTTTTCTTTTTACAAGCTGGCGATGATTGCTCGAGTAGTGACTGAGAGAGAGAAAAAATTATTTTCCATAAAATAAATGAATAAAATAATAATCATTCATTTATTAATTCGTATATTCATTCAACCATTCACTTACTACGTCATTCATTCATCCAACTTTTGCCTGTTCATTCATTCAATCATTCCTAGACTGGCACATCAACGTAAATACATAGATATACACACTTACTTACACACACACACACGTACGTACAAGCATACAAACACACAAACGGACATGCATACATTTTTACACACACACACACACACGCACTCATACACACTCACACACTCACACACATACACACACACACACACAGACAAACATACTTCTCTAAATATAGGATTAGTACTCAAATTGATTCCTATTGACTCCAGTAAGCAGTTCACAAACATTTTCCATTCCGAACTCGAGCCTGGTGTGTTAATTGTTTTTATATTTACTTTAATATTCAACTAAACATTTCGAATCAACCATCCAATCAACAAACCCCAACCAATCAACCAACCAACTAACCAGCCAATCAATCAACCAACTAACCAACCAATCAATCAACTAACTAACCATTCAACAAATCAACTAACCAACTATCCAATCAATCAATCAATCAATCAATCGACCAACCGACCAATCATTCCCGGAGAATTTCTCTTCATATACCATTTACTGAACAGCGTCATCGTGGCATCTGCTGGTAGCATGCACCTCAAAACCTCCAAGCACATTCTAACTATTGACATTTTTAATATTATAATTGTTATTATGTGTTAGTGTGTGTGTGTTGTGTGTTTGTATTGTAACTATCAACATTTTTCAACATTTTTAATAATTTTTCAACATTTTTAATATTATAATTGTTATTATGTATTAAGAGTGTGTGTGTGTGTGTGTTTGTATGTGTGTATGTATGTTTGTGTATGTGTATGTTGTGTGTGTGTATGTTTGTGTGTGTTTGTGTTTGTTTGATTAGAAAAATATGACAGACGAACCCATGGTGTTTGTTGAAAATTCAGGCATTTCAATTCTAAACATATTGCCATCCGGAGATTCCTGCGTTCGTATTAATAAAAATAACAACAACAACAATAATAATAACAATAATAATAATAATAACAATAATAATAACAATAATAATAACAATGACATGGAAACATCGAAATCTAAAACCAAAACATATAAAATGAAATACAATGAGATCAAATCAAATATTATATAAATCGGAGGAGGGCAAACTTTTGGCTGTGAGAGCCACATTGGGAACTATTTTACCCTTGAAGGGCCGCATATGTACTTAAATAGCAAATTTTTTCGACTCGGGGGGAGAATTTTTTTATTTTTTCGAGATTTTTGGCTCCCTTTTTTGGTCATAATGTCCGGCTGACGTCCTTTTTTGGCGAACAAGGGCCGTATTAAATTGCCCACCCCTTAGTACATTCACGCACACACACACACACACAAACACACGTACAATTGAAAACTTAGAACAGGAGGCATCTCTCAGTGCACAACTTGCCAGATTCAAAAACTTGACGTCTGTCCTATTGAAGCTGTTGTTGCTGTTGTTGTTGTTGTTGTTGATTCCATCGATGTGACTGTTGTCATTGCTGCTATTGGTCATCCTGTTGTTGCTGGCGACTGTATAATGACGAAAATGATGAATGATGACAAACACACACACACACACGGACACACACACTCACACACACACACACACGGACACACATGCATACAAACTGACATACGCGCGCGCACAAACGCACACATAAACATACATACACAAACTCTTACATTGCACGTAAATGTCACTGTGAGATTTGTCCAATGGAACAGGAGATAATTGAACCTTAATTGGATAAGTTTTCAATCAATCAATTAACTAATTAATCAATCAATCAGTCAGTCAATCAATCAATTAATCAATCAATCAGCCAATCAATCAATCAAACAAACAGCAGCGCCAACTAACCAAGGCATCATCATCATCAAATTTAACTTCCATAGCACTCGCTGGCCGACTCGATGTAACCGGACCGTTGCCGAGATGACAATCATCATCATCATCCTCACCCTCGACATCATTATCATAAATGCCACACGCCACATCATCATTATCGCCACCGTACTTATTAACATTATTATTATTATTAAGCCTATTTTTGTTGTTTGGTCCCATTATAGCAATTTTACTGGCGCAATGGTTGACTAGATTCATAGTAGCAATGGTAGTGATGGTTGATGTTTTGGTTGTTGTGGCTGTTGATGACTTTGTGGCTTTTGTTGCCTTTGTCATCGTTGTCGTTGTTGTTGTCCTGGCAATCATTGGAGGTGCATTCAGTGTGAATAGAAGACCTGGAATCAGCAGCGCAGTCATCTGTTTGAACGTTTCAGAATTAAAATTGACGTTACGTTACAACACTAATTAATGGACTGTTCAATCAATCAGTCAATCAATTAATCAATCAGTTAATCAATCAGTTAATCAATCAATTAGTTAATCAATCAATTAGTTAATCAATCAATCAATCAATTACCTTGTGTGTCCCAGAATAGACCATGAGCTGAGAGTTCATATCTGATACAATCATCATCTGAGTCGACTAAGGAGAAAAAAAAACAGAAAATACAAACACGCGCACAACACGCACACATACACACGCACGCATATACACACACATACAAACATACGGGTAATGGAGAAACATCCCTAGCTTCAATACTATGCATATTACCAAACTTCCAAGTGCCTTTATTAAGATCTTCAGTATACTTAACGCATCTGAATGTTTAAGTTGGTTGGTTGGTTGGATGGATGATTGATAGATTGATTGGTTGATTGAAGAAATGAACAAACGAATGAATGAATGAATGAATGAATAAAGAAATTAATGAACGATTGATCAAGAAAATGACTGAGAAACTTTTCAATGAATGATGATTTGGTTGGTTAGTTGAATGGATAAACAACTAAATCGATGATCAACTAATTTACAGATAAATTGTCTGAGTGATTAAATGAATGAATGATTGAATGAATGAATGGTTGAATGATTGATTGATTGACCGATTGAATGAATGAATGGTTGAATGATTGATTGATTGACCGAATGAATGGTTGAATGAATGGTTGATTGATTGATTGATTGAATGATTGATTGAACCCACCTGAGCACCTTAAAAGACTTAACGTGAAAACAAAAAAACTTTTGATGGCTAAAGTCAGTTGTGAAGAAAACTTTGCTTGCTGGCTCTGCATCTCTATGGCGTAAGGGAGAAGTAAATTAACACAAGTAAATAAATAACATGACGCAACAACAACACAGATTAACAACAACAGCAGCATAGCATCATCAAGCAACAACAACAACAGCCAAGCAGCAACGAAAATGCAACAGCTTCTCAAACAGAACCCTAACCCCCCCTCAAAATAACAAGACCAACCTAGTGACGAGAGCCTCACTCCACAAATGTTCCAAGCAGATCTCCGGCTGCAGTGCAACATCACCAACGCCAAGGCCACCAGCAGCGCCAGCAGCAGCAGCAGCTGCAACAGCAGCATCACAATTGTTGTTATCGTGAATGGTTTGGAAAAATGATGATGAGGACAGTGATGAGGCAGGGTAGCATGACGGCGAGTAGATGCTCTGGAGAGGGGAGTTTGCACTGTTTCCCATCATCCAGTGCATCAGAGAGTGATGATGATGGTGGTGGTGGTGGTGGGGTTGATGATGATGTTGATGTTGCATTAGCTGCGGAGATTGCGTTCGACTGTTTTCAAGGGTTTGTGAAAATGGTAATGTGATGGAGAAAAAACTCAAAGTTAACAATGGATTGATGAAATTTAATTTTAAATTAAAACCATTTCAGACTGTCGAAAGTAAAAAAATAGATTAAAACCCACATACACACACACACACACACACACTTACATGCACACACACACACACACACACACGCACACGCACACACATTTAGACAAAATATCCACAAACCAACTTTCTGATACTCACTTAATGCCAGCAATTCTCATATTAAGAGACGGACTAGACAGGTAGGACAGCCCAAAGGACGGCGACTTCGAATTCATAGATGGAAAATGTGACAGGTCGAAACTGGGTGATAGACTGCTAAAAGTATGTCTAGACGACAGACTGTTAGAATGACAATATTTTGGGGTTATGTTAGCAGCTCTGGACGCATCACTGTTCCCTTTCGAGAGGCTAGACAGACCTGTTGAACCTAGATTAGTTGTGGCCGTTGTCGTCAGTGCAGTCGACGTCGAAGCGTTCATGTGGCCACCACAGGCGTATTCAACTTCCTGTTGGAAATACAATTTTTAGTGATTTTTAATCACAAACTACTACAGCTAGAGCCAACGATTATCACTTGAAATGATAATGCCACTGACCAGCCAACCGACCAACCAACCAACCAACCAAACCAAACAACAAAACCAACCTCATTATAAGCCCATCTAATAATCCAGACTGTGTGCTTGCTCGTCACGCGGTGGTAGGTGACAACAAATGGCAGCACGTCACTGGTGAATAAGATCTCCTGGTGTGGATCGACTATGAACTGTATCTGATCCCCTTCTGTGATTGGTGGATTTGTCAGTTGGAGATGAATAAATTATGCTAATGTTTAGGTTATTGAATTAATTAATGAACTAATCAACCAGCTAGTATTATGCATATGGCAATAATTGGATAACAATAGATATAATGCGAAATTCGCAGCTAATAATAGCAAAAACAGCATACCTGATCTGCTGATAAGAGGTACCAACTCTTCAAGTGGATGTGTAAGACTAAATAAAACAGGCAACATTCTTTGCTCCTGTTTGGCTTTACTGAAAATAAATTATTATTATTTGTAGTAGTAGTAGCAGCAGTAGTAGTAGCAGTAGTAGTAGCAGTAGTAGTAGCAGCAGCAGCAGTAGTAGTAGTAATAGTAGTGGCAGCAGTAGTAGTAGTAGTAGCTGTAGCAGTAGTAGTAGCAGTAGTAGTAGTAGTAGTAGTAGCAGTAGTAGTAAAAATAGTATTGCTAGTAGAGTTAATTTTAGTGATAGCATTGCAATCTTACCCGATCATTATTATTATCATCATTAGTAGTTGTTGCTATAGTACCTGTAGCAGCTGAAGCTGAAGCAGCAGCAGTAGTAGTAACGACAGTGTCAACAACAACAGCAACAAAAATAAAAATTTTAAAAATAATGAGAATAATAACTCTTTATTGGAAAGTTCCTTATCTGTGACGTTTCTTTCAAAAAGCAAGGCGTTTTTAATGACCCAAATTTTTTTAATCTGGAAAAAAAATAAAATTCCGCTTAATTCTTATATTTTAATATTATTAATATTTCATTTTTCGATTACCAGATTACCGATTTTTTTTCTATCTATTTAAACATGAATGAATTGTGAATTAAATCATGAATGAATGGAGCGAGGAATGAATGAATAAAATAATTTAAAAAAAAAAAGATTAAATTATAAATTTAAAAAAAGTAGTTTACTGGAAAAAATAGAGCAGATAGGTAATCCTTTCCATCGTTGCAGAAAAATGAAATACTGCTATCCTCAACAACGCATACGCAAGATTGAATGCTGGCCGTCGTCGTTGTTGTGGCTGAAAAATTATGAATAAATTTGATTATTGCTAATTATTAAATATAATCATTACTAATTAACAAATTTAATTATTACTAATTATTAAATTTAATTATTACAAATTATTAAAATTAATTATTACTAATTATTAAATTTAATTATTACTAATTATTAAATTACTTTAGTTTGTTTTAATTTGTTAATTTAGGAGTATTTATGTGAATGTGCAATCTTCACCTGAGCCAAAATTATTGATGATGTTGTTTTTTAACTTTTTATCTGATGTAAGACTGGATGGTATGAGGAATGAACACCACAGAGCCTAAAATAAGAAAATAAAAATAATTTAACAAATAATTCAACAAAATATTAAACTCTAATTAATCAACTGAGAACTAAACCAAAAAAATCTTATTTAAATCAATGTTATAACTAAGTGATGGCTGAAATGACAATATGTAAATTTATACATTATGTTAAATTAATGTTACAAAATGTTAAATAATTTGTGTGACTTTAACAATGAAAAAATATTTATTTAGCGCCAAATTATTATTATAAAAAATATTTCATACTTGCTGCACGGTGCTGTCCATAGTAAATGTTCTCAAAATGTGCGAATTGGCACCTGCAAAACATCGACTCCAAACAATGAGGTTATCTTTGTAATATAATTCTTCTTCACAATCTTCCAAAGACAGCAAATCTTTTTGCACTAGCCAATGCTCTTCACTCTTGGTCATCAAAAAAGTTGAATTTAACTTTTAACATTTAAATTCAATTTTAAAAATTTGAAGTTATTTATAGGCAAAAAGCCATCATACACTGTTTAAAAATGAGAAAATATACACATAACCCACACTTGATTAAAAAAATATTCATTAAATACAATAAATAATATTAAATAATAATAAATAATCATCAATTATGAAATATTATTAAACAATAATTAACCAACATGGTTTAATAAATCAATATTCTTGAAGTAATGCAAGTTGGCATAAGAGAAAGCTCTGGTGGATTTCTGATTGCTCAAAACACCGGGGTGCTGGGAGTGGCAGACGCGACCGAATGGAACATAAGCCCTGGCCTCTTTTGTTGAGATCATTTTTTTTCTTCGCTCCAGTTTAGTTAACTTTTTGAGGAATAAGTTAGAGTGAAAATAATAATGGAACAAAAAGTGAAAAGCTGTGTGAGGTGAAACGCAGGGTTTGGAACAACCTTGTGTTGCTTTTAATTGCTTCTAGTGTTTTTAACCCTGTGTAATATAAAATTTTAATTTAAATAAGGCCTAAGGGCAATTTATAAATGTGAAAAAAATTGTCCGTTATTTAATATTAAATATTAACAGCCATTTTGCTTTATTCCTGATATCAAAATAAAATAATAATTTTTAGTTAAATTGCCTTTACTTTAATTTAATTAATTAAAGTTAAACTTAATTAAGTATACTATGATCCAGCACACACATAGCACAGATATTAATTAGATAGAATTAGGTAATGCCTAACGGAATTATAATTAAATTACTGCTTAGTTAAATAATAATATTAATAATAAATAGAAACAAATTTGTAAAATTTAAAACACTAAGATTAAAAAATTGTAATTGATGAATGGAAGAAAATGAAAACGCTTACCTTAGAAATCCGTAGAAAGTGAAAAAAACCAACAACTAAATAACTCTTAGATAAACAAATTTTACCATAATAATCAAGATAATAATACAAATTTTAGACAATAATCAAGAAAAAACATCTAAAACTAAAGACATGCCAGGCCGAATTTCGAAAAAGTTTATTTTGTAACGAAAGTGACAATGGAATGGATCCTGCTACTTGGCTTTCTTGGCTTATTGGCTTACTTACGAAATTGCATGGGTTTTAACCATATAATTAGAATAAATATAACGGCCTTCGCTCGTTTTTGACGGTCGAACAAGGAGCTTACTTCCGGAGGGAAATTGGAGGGGAATTTTTTATCGCCCAAGTCAAAAGTTACGATCGTATATTTACTAATTTCGGAATATTGCTTTTATTTAAAATTTCAAAATGTTTTAAAAGGCGATACTAGATGCTGTTTTAGGATAGATACCTCTACTGATTCTAATTACTAATTGAAATAAATAACAGATAACACTAACGAACATTAACAGATTAGACTACTAGAAACTACCAACCACTACACTACTACATACTACTACTACACTAACGACTAACATCACTTGTTCCTAAGATCCTAAATTCTATTGTTTGATTGGTTTTAAAATTTTTATTTACAATGCTTAGGTCTGGGAATAAAAAATATACTAAATTAAATAAATATATTAAACAACTTATCAATCAATTTTATAAAATAAACAGTTTTGTAATTTGTTTAATAAATTCAAGCTTCAAACTCCCCAAGCTAACTTGCAATTTATTTAAAATTTATTAATTGTGAGTGATTCAAACTAAATATTTTTTCATTTAATGTTTTACAAAATATTCCTCATTCTTAAATTGTAGTACATGTTGTTATTAAATTTATTAAAGATAATGTGTGATTCCAGTGGTTCATCAATCCATGACTTGTTAGATCATGATCATTCAGTTTTAAAGAATCACCATAACCAATGAGGTTTGTAAAATTGTACTTTTAATTTATTATATTTTATGCACTTAGAATGTTGTGTTATTAATTATTAATACCTCGGGAAACCGGGTCTCTGGACGCAAAACGAAGATTGATTGATTGATTAATTATTATCATTAATTTATTAAATGCTGTGCATACCTATGGCAAGTAAATAAAATAATTAAGCATAGAAATAGCCACAATCAAATTAATTTATATAGGCATGAGTATAATTTGGATAATAATAATTAAAAATATCGGTATCATTGAAAATGGATAAAGTCATAAATAAAAAAATAAATCATAAATTGCTAAAAATAATAGTTCCAGTAAGATT